ACTTTTTCATCATTCTCTATGTACACTGACTTATCTGTGTTGCCGGGTGGGAAGGCTATATATGAGAAAACACAAGAAATAAGTATGTTTCCAATTGCCTAGCACCTGAGTTTGCATGTCATCTCCAGTGACAATGTTACCAACTGTACAAAGAGCAGGAATTAGCACTGAGGGAGATGGGTGATTGAAATTCCAAAAACTTCAATGTTAGGGCAAATAACAAATGAAAAAGAAGACAAAGGTAACTCACAGACAGATGAAACTAACAAGCATATGATATAAAATTAAATACTCAACATGCATCTGTCAAGACTTCTTCATCGCTTGAGTTAATAAGACGCTGAAGACTATTGATGGGTATTTCTTATATGTTGTAAAAATTTGATTGTTTGATGAATTAGGTTTATTGATATTCTAGTTAGTTATCTCTACAGCCACTCTGTAACAAATTCTCTAATTTGAGAAATGTCACTTAATTTTAAAACTTAATTGAACTGATCTTAAAATAAAAAATAAAAAATAAAAAACTAGGCTGTCTTCATGTTTTCAGAAAATGGTAATGGGTGAATCAACTTTGGTTCTATCAATTACATGATCATGGACATGGTAATGTCATAATTCCAGGCATTATTTCAATTGACTTCTTTAACTTCCTTCATGCTTCCCCTCCCTACACCTTCCAAGCCTCAGAAGAAAAACAAGAACACCAATTTTTTCAACTATTAGAGTTAATTACATCTTCATTGCTAGCACTATCATCATCAGCACTTGCATTGCAACAATCAAGACTACAACAATAAAAAAAAAAATTCCACACTTGTATATGAAGAAAAAAAACAAGAGAGGTGAGGAACTTGTTGACCAAAGTTAAACAACTACATTCAATCAAACATTTTTACAAGCACTTGGAGTGCATCTTACAAACCTAGATTTTAAACTAAATAGTAAGTACATCATACAACCCAAAATTCATATCAACTATATTCAATGAGATATTTTTACAAGCACTTGCAATATATCTTACAACCCATATTTCAAAACATATATTTGTTATTATTTGTTACCAAAATCAAGGTAAAAATAAATCCCAAAAAAACCCATAAAACTCATAATCATCATCGCCTCTGCTTTGTCCACCAAACTGCCCTCTTCATCGCCATCGATCTCACTATTTTATGCCCCAAAACCCCAAATTCCAGCTGAGCTTTGCCACAATCGACAATCTCACCACCACTTTAGCCTTATTCAAAATCTGATTTGCCGCCATGTACGCCGTGAAGAACTTGAATCTCAGCCCCTTCAAGTTCCATGACACCTATATTACTTTCTCGTATAAGGGAAAACGAATCGGAGAGAGTCGAATCCGTGAGTTGAGAGCTAATGCTTTGTCGATGAAAGATGTGAGCTTCAAGTTGAATGCACTTCTTCTTGTTCTTTGTTAGAGTCTGTTTCGAATTTGGTGTTGGATATTGGTTCAGGTCAGAGAGCTAACAGAGAGGTTAGAAAGAGAAGACTCCAAAACGTCATCGTTTTGGAGCATGGCAGGAAGCACAGTAGAAAATCACGACAGAGGATCCAGACTCATTCCCAAACAAGGCCTTAGGATGAACTATAGAAAATGAAAGTTGTATTATGTTCCCAAACGAGGCCTTCTTATGTTACAATGTGTACCCTCAAAAAGGTGCATATGGTTTCGTAACTTTTTCACAAAATTTCAAACTTAAACCCAAAATGCCATAACTTTTTCACTACAAAAATCATAATTTTTTTTCATTGAAAAATATTATAACAAAATCTCAAATTGTCATAACAAAAATCACAAATTGTCATAACATTATTATTCATAACTTTAGGGTAGGATGCACATCAGAAATTCGCTATTTATAATTTTACTACAAAATGTTATAACTCACATTACAAACAATCATAACGTTCATTATAAAAAACCATAACTTTTTTATATTGTGCATCATTTGAAAGGATCCACATTGTAAATTTCTCCATGATGAAAATAACATATTACAAATTAACTTTTGATTTGTCACTACTTTAACCACGCTACTTTAACCACATAAGGCCAAACTCTCTTACCATGTGTGAATTTGAGAATTTATATTATAAATTCTAACATTACTGTTTTTTTCTAAAATTTGAACTATTTAATTTTTTAATATCCAACTTTTCGTGAATGCTTCAATTTTTTAATTTTTCGACACCTATCAACTGTGTTTTTTTTTTATTATTATTATAAACAATTAAAATTTGATTCCCTAAAATTTGGATGAGAGATGGCTGTCCAAGCCTGGGAACAATGTCTTATAATTTTGGATTGGCAAACAATCCTATCTCTAGATTTCTTTGATTGGGCTTGGCTGTATTTTAATCGAGGTGATGAAGCCACTCTAGGGTTTTCTTTATGGTTTAGTTTTGGTTTTGGTGGGGCATACGGATATACCAGCCAGGGATGGCTAAGAGACAAGTTTAGAACGGGTTTGTCATTCTTTGCCTTTGTTTTTGAGGCTAAATTCTACCCTTACCCCCACCCCACTCTCGCTATTGCTGAAATTGTTTAACCTTATCCCCGCCCCCGTAGATATTTGCGGATATCTGACTATATTTTAAATAATCAAAAAAATTGAGAACTATTTAACTCCTTAGTATATTAAATAATTTTTCTTATTTCTATATATATATAAGCAGTAAGACTTTTAGAATTATTATTTATTTATATTTAAATAGAATTACAGACTTTTAATATTCTTTTCTTAAATCTAATTATATTATATATATATTATTTATTTATATATGTTATTAATTATATTGAGTCGGGTTTTAATCAGGACGGAAATGCGATATCCGCCCCCACCCCATGTAAGTGTTGGGCGGGTAAGATCTGCCTCATTTTAATGAGTATAGACAGATCCCGCGGATCGGATTAAAATATAGACAAAACCCGCGGATCGGATTAAAATAATCATCTCTAATGGCAGCATTAACATAATTGATATATTTATTAGTTTTTTTATTAGTGTGTCTACACTATTGTTTTTAAAAATCATATGTTTGGTTTGGTTTTGGGAGATAAATTTTAAAAAAAAACTTTGGGGAGAGAAGAAATTTTTTTTGTTTGTTTGGTTGTATATTTTGGAAATAGTTTTTGAGTATGGGAGTTTGAAATGATTTGATATTTTGTTATAATTGAGTAGATGTGTGCGAGGGAAAAAATGATTGAGAAGAAGAGAGGAGGGAGACAAAGTGATCGATTGATTGATGTGTAGAAAAAAGAAAGTGATTTTGGAAATTTTTCTCTAAAATCACTAAATCAAAGAATTTTTTTTTAAAAAAAAATTCAAAATTATTTTCTCAAAAACAAATCAAACAAGGCCTAATATCTCATACAAATGTATGCCTCCATAATGAGGCCAACTCATAAGCTTCAGGTAATTTAGTCGGGTTCGGCTTGTTAGATTCAAGTGGTTAGGGCCAAAAGACTGGATCCAGGCCTTTTTTGTTTTTTGTTTTTTTTATTATAGATGGTTATAGAAGCCCATCTTAAGCTACTCTCAATCCTACAATGGACAATCCAAGCTTCAATTAATTTAGTCGGGTTCGGCTTGTTATAAGCATTGCCATCGTCTTATTACCACTATCATTACTACACTTACCATCACCACTGCCGCAACCACTACTATTATCTCCATCATCACAATATAAAAATTAAAATATATAATTTGAAAATAATAAATTTTAAATTTGATTTTATACATTTCAAATAACTTATTTTTAATTTAGTGGGTGTTTGGGAAGTTACTATTTTAGTAGGCTAAATTTTTTGTGTTTGGGAAGATGATTGGATTTTTTTGTAGTTGGATGTGATGTTTGTGAGATAAAAAGTGAAATGATTATGGATTTGATGTGATATTTTGTCTTATTAGCTATTTTAACATATTTTGTCTTTTTTGTGAATTTTAGCCTAAACAATTATGCTACGTTTACTTATATTCTTACTAACAAGTCTACAGAAACCTTACATGGCATTCCACATCACTTTCCTGGGCCCACTGCCATAAACAAAAGAATTAAAAAAAAAAAAGGAAATAAGAATTTGCAGAGTCGTCCGAAAAGTTGCGGAATCTTCGACTTCCTTTCTTCACGTCGTTTTGGTGAACTAAGTATTCGTTCATCTCTCAAGTTCTCTTTCTTCGTGGGTTTGACTATGTCTCTTTTACATCTGTGGTAATCGACTGAATCAATGATAAATTAAACCCAAGAGGAGAATCGAACGAAGGTTCTTTCCCTGGCCTCTTTATTGCCTACTGATTTTGGTAAATCATTCACTGTTGCTTCCTGTTTTATTTAAAATATGAAGGCTATTAGTGCTCAATTTTTGTTCAACTAGATGTGTTAGTATGGCTGGTCCTCTTGTTTATTATTTTTGTCCTGATGGTTTCAAATCAAAGTGTATGTGGGGATGATCTTGAAAAAATATATATACGAGATGCCCATATGCTTTTATTGCTTTTAAATTGGGATTGGGCATAATTCTGTTGTATACATAATTTGTAAATAAGAAGTTTAAAATATGGGTAATACTATAATATATATATCTATATATCCCTCAAAAAGAGTGTATCATATTATTATCAAATAACTTTCTGTCATAATTTAATGGATCAAAACCAAACACCTTTAATACATAATTAAAGACCTCTCATAACTCAATTATAACCAATACCACTAGGGGCGGAACGATGGATTTTGTTCGGGAGGGGCTAATGTATATGCATAAAAAATATTGAATTGGTTTTGATACATTAGTAATTGAATATAATTTTTTATCCAAGTGTTGCTAAAGAAGTATTTCCATATTCTAGTTAACAGTTACATGTATGAATATGTTACTTTTTAATTGAAGAAGACTGGTTTAACAAAGTAGACTTTCTAGTTTATGTTGTTTTTGTTTTGTTCATTGATTATTCTATATATTATAATACAGACACATGGAGGAAGTATCAAGTGGTTCTGAAAGTGTTGGCTTAAATGAAGATCATAATGAGATTGAAATAGAGAAGGCAAAAAGTGTAGAAGATCCTAAAGTAGGAATGTTGTTTGATTCCATTGATGACCTTGTTCAATTCTATCAAAGGTATGCGAAGGAAAAAGGTTTTGGCATGTGTATACGAAGCTCTAAAAAAGTAGGAGGTGAGGTGAGGTATGTGATAGTTGCTTGTACTCATAGTGGAAAGCCAAAGATTAAATCAAGCAAACTCCATCAATTGCATCCACAATCAAAAACGGATTGCAAAGCTAAGATTTGTGCAAATCTATTAGGTGATGGAAAGTGGATTTTGAGATCTATGGTTCTTGACCATAATCATGGAGTGAGTCCAGGAAAAGCTCGATTTTATAGATGCCATAGGGTTCTCAATTCAGCTGTGAAAAGGAGGCTTGAATTACATGCTAAAGTCGGTATTAGAATGAACAAGAGTTTTAATTCATTAGTGGTTCAGGCAGGAGGGCATGAGAAATTGACATATTTAGAGAAGGATTGCAGGAATCATATGGATAGGGTCAAACGTATAGAACTTGGAGAAGGAGATGCTACAACAATGCATAATTACTTTTTGAAAATGCAAGCTGACAATTCTGAATTCTTTCACATGATGGATTTAGATGAAGAAGGCCGATTAAGGAATGTATCTTGGGCAGATGCAAGGAGTAGAGCTGCATTTAAAGAGTTTGGTGATGTAGTTACCTTTGACACAACATACTTAGTTAACAAATATGCAATGCCATTCGCTCATTTCGTAGGAGTGAACCATCATGGCCAATCAACATTACTTGGGTATGGATTGATCTCAGGTGAAGACACAGAGACCTTTACATGGCTATTTCAGTCATGGCTCACATGCATGTCTGGATGTCCTTCTTTTGCAATCATTACGGATCAAGATCAAGCAATGAAAAATGCTATAGAGGTTGTTTTTCATAATGCACGACATCGGGGGTGTTTGTGGCATATCATGAAAAAGCTACCTGAGAAATTGAGAGGTTACAATCAATATGAAGGAATCAAGTTTTCAATGAAAAATGTTGTTTATGATTCCTTAACTATAGGAGAATTTGAAGAAAGTTGGGGCAAATTCATTGAGAAGTATAAACTTCAAAGCAATAAATGGTTATTTAACTTGTATGATGAAAGGCATCATTGGGTGCCTGCCTTTGTGAAAGATACTTTTTGGGCAGGAATGTCAACCACACAGCGTAGTGAAAGCATGCATGCATTTTTTGATGGGTATGTTAATTCCAAGACCACATTGAAACAATTTGTAGAACAATATGAAAATGCTTTGGCAAAAAAGGTAGAAAATGAGAACAATGAAGAATTTAATTCTTTCAACTCTTGCATCCCATGTATGGTTGGTTATGAAATGGAGAAGCAATTACAGAGTGCTTATACAACGGAAAAATTTAAAGAGTTCCAGCGAGAGCTAATGGGGAAGATTTCTTGTGATTTATCTTCATATAAGAAAGATGCTTACATTTCAAAATACGAAGTGGCTGAAGATATATTATTTGGAGAAAGTCGTCGTCGTGTATCTTTTAATGTGTGCTTTGATGAAGATACTAATGGGGTTTATTGTAATTGTCGGTTATTTGAATATAGGGGAATATTGTGTAGGCATCAAATTGTGGTGTTCATTCACAGGAAGGTTGATCAAATACCGGATAAGTACATTTTGAAAAGATGGTCCAAAAATGTTAAAATGAGCCATACAAAAGTGCGAATCAGTTATGACAACTGGGCTCTCAAACCTGAAGCACGCCGATTTGATAAAATGTGTAATGTTTTCTACGAGGTTGTGGATTTGGCTGCAGTGTCAGAAGATTGGAGTGAGAAGTTCATAGAAAGAATATGTGAGTTTCGCGTATGTATGAAGCAAGATAGTTGCCGAAGCGATAAACAAATTTCTGTACGTACTCGAAATGGGTCTACGTCATGTGGAGATGGCATTAGAATTTCAAAAGAGAGGACAAACATACTTGATCCCTTGGTAGCTCATTCAAAAGGGCACCCACCATTTAAAAGAAAGCAATCTATGGTTGAAAAAGTTACTAAGAAAAAAAAAGAAAAAAAAAGATTCATAGCCTAACTTGCAAGGAAAATGTGCACAAACATATTGTGAGAAATCTGGAGAAGGTTGTGGTGTTAATGAATTTTATTGATTACTTATAATGGTTATACTATTGCTCTTAATAATTGCTAACTTTGATTAATTTACATTTGTGTAGGAGCTGCAGGACAATGGGAATATGCATGGTGCAAGAGTTGTTGAACTTGTGAAAGAGGAAAATATTCACTTTCATGTAAGTAAAATGTTTGTATCATAAATAGTTGGTAGTAACTTTAGAAAGAGTGAAAAGGTTTGACTTTAAAATATTAGTATCATAAATAGTTGGTAGTAACTTTAAAATATGACTTTAACCATTAGGAAGAGTGAGTTATGGCTTTAAATTTTGCGTTGTAGAATCCTGAAATGCAACAGTCACTGCATATCGGACAAGAAAGTTATGACTATAACAGGGGATTAGGCATGTGGCCAAACATGACTAGTCATCCAAGTAACATTGGTATGAGTTCATATTTCGGTCAGCCAAATCTACTACAATGAGGAAGTTCGTCATTTCAAGCATGTATGTTCAGACAAGGGGTTGGCATGTATCCATTCGAGGTATGCACTAATTTAATTCTATTAGTAAATCATAGCTTAGTTTAGTGTATTCTTTAATAAGAGTAACACTTTTTATTTTATTTTATTTAATTTATTATTAAGGTCATCATCATCCAACTCCATCTTGGAGGCCTAGACTTAGAGATGGGAGGAGTTATGCATCCCAACAATTTCAATGGAATGTTGACAATGAATGATATGGCACAAGCTAAAACTCTAACATTGCACAAAGATGACAAAAGTGAAGAGCATTGACATCACAGTTGTATTCTTTTAATTTCATTACACATTGTGACTACTATTTAAACTCAAGTGATACTGTTGAATCTCTATTTGAAGTTAATGAAGATTGTTTGTTTTGTTTTGTTTGATATGTGTTTAACCATTTTGACAGCATTTCAGTACCATTTCAGCAACATGTGAACAAAAAAATAGCACATTTTGACAACATTTCGACAATATTAATCTATTCTGACAAAATTTCAACAGCATTTCGACATGTTTTTTGTGAACAATAAACAATAAAATCACAACCACCATAGCACATTTCATTTATTCAAAACTACAACACACAACAAAACCATCTTAGCCACTAAGAACAATATTTATTACAATATGAAGCATTCATTACAATCTCATAGCTGTTTCATTACAATATAAGAAGGCAAAATAATTTCATTATAAAATATACAAAAAAATGCAGCCTTCATCTCACAAACAAAAATAGCTACTTCATTGAGAGTACAAACAAAAAATTTACATCATTCTGCAAAAAAGAGCACCAAAAAAAAAAAAAAAGCATTCCTTCATCTCAAAAGCAAAATCCAGCCTCCCTTAGCTTGTCTTTCCAAATCTACAACTGTAATTGCTACTCTCACATGAAAACAGGATTTCATTATTGATAGCTGATATCAAACTAGTCACCACCTTCATCTACACAACCTGTAAAAATAATGCAATTAGATAAAAGCAATATCCAAATATGCATGCCTAAAAGAGGGAGATAAAAAAAAACAATAAATAAAAAGATAAAACTTAGCTATGAACAATCTTAGAGCTACCACTGTATCAAAATAGCAAATTTGGAGCTTTCCTTGAACAATCTTGCATTTTTTTTTTTTATTTATAATTTGGATTGGCAAAAGATAAAATCTTATTCAAGAAAAATGTTAACAGGCTACCATATAACAAATGGAGACAGGCTACCATATAACAAATGTTAACAACAAAGTTTCCAAGTAATAAGCAAAACAGAGCCTGAGACATGATAAAATTCATCTAAAAAGAAGAATAAAAAAAGAATTCATAACCACAAACTCCCACCAAAATAATACTCCTTCACCAAACATAAGAACATTTCATATCCTTCCAAAACTCAATCAGCAGTAAACACATTGATTTAATTATGTGCTCCTATTTGTGGTGGTAAGTTCATGTTCTTGAACAAACCATTTGAACTACCCAACAAATAACATAGCAGACAAAGAGAAACTTTTGTTACTAGTATTCTTCTTGTCTTTTAACTTTATTGCATCAATACTAAAAGATAACCCTTGAATGTTGCAATTGAGTCTCAATAAAATACAGGGAATTCAAACTAGAAAATACCAAAATGAATCATAAATTTTAGTTGGATGAAGTATGGATTTCAACAAAATTTGAAATCTTACCCAAAACCCAAATCAAACGAAATTTTAGTTGGATTTCAAATCAGAACATTTTGAAGTCCAATATTTGATGATTTTCAGTAATATAATGAATTAAATTTGTGAACTCCCAAATCAAAATTTTGAAGTTTCTACTCCAAAAATTATTCAATCAAAACAAGAAATCCCTAAAATTGTTAAATTACCTATCTTTTTTATTCTCCTTCCTTTTCTCTTTGTCAGATATCAGTCGATTTCACCGAAATATTAGCGTTGATCATCAGTTGAGAGAAAGAAGGGTGAAAGATTGTGTGTCGGCCGAATCATCTTCTTCAGGCGAGAAAGAGGCGTGTAATGGAGAAAAGTTGCAGAACTCTCAATTTTGTTCTTCAATGTAATTGTAATGAAGGAATTGTGAGGCCCATGAAGTTGAGGCAATGGATTCCTTGTGGTTCGTATTTTTTTTTTAATTTTTTTGTTTATGACAGTGGGCCAAAAAGTGATGTGGAATGCCACGTAAAGTTTCTGTAGGCTTGTTAGTAAGAACATAAGTAATCGTAGCATTATTGTAAAAATATTTGGTTGATCTTTGGACATTTCAACCTTGTGCTGCCCAATGTAACTCGGAAAACACAAAAATAAAAAAAAAATTCTTGGGAAACCTTGGGACATTTATAACCCTGACAATGAATGATATGGCACAAGCACACACACAAATTTATCTATAATAATAACGGTCCTGTTTGGTAAAAGATTTTTTTATTAAAATAATTAATAAAAAAATTAAAATAGTCATTATGATAAAATATCACATGCAAATCATAATCCTTTTTTTTTCCCTCTTACAGCTATCAAATCAACTACAAAAACAAAAACAAAACATAAAAAACCAACTTTCCAAACACAATTTTTTTAGCCAAAGTTAACTAAAATAGTCAACTTCTCAAACGAGACCAATATAAAAAACCCAGAACACTTATTTGGGTCTCGTTTGTCAACTACACATTTTAACAAAAAGTCAAAAAGTCACTATAAGTTATCATATTATTCTCTTTAATTTTCTGCACATATTTTTATAAAAAGTCAAAATATTACTAAAATAGTCTATTCTCAAATACGACCCAAGTATGAACTATAAAAAGTGACAGGTGTATTATGTCTTAATCAAGAAAGATCCTACAAAGTTTCTTTTTCTTTTTTTTTTTTTTTTTTTTTTTTTTGATAAATCAGAATGTCCAAACCAACTTGCACATACCTCTACTAATCCCTAAGGAATCAGTCCCAAAGTTTCTCTTAATTTGATCCATGATGAAAATAACATATTACAAATTAACTTTTGATTTGTCACCACTTTAACCACATATGGCCAAACTCTCTTGAGAATTTAAATTATAAATTTATGACATTACCGTTTTATCTAAAATTTGAACTATTTAATTTTTTTAATATCCAACTTTTCGTGAATGCTTCAATTTTTTAATTTTTTTACACCTATCAACTGCTTTTGTTTTTTATTATAAACAATTAAAATTTGATTTCCTAAAATTTGGATGAGAGATGTCCGCCCAAGTCTGGGAACAATGTTTTATAATTTTGGATTGGCAAACAATCCTCTCTCTAGAATTCTTTGATTGGGCTTGGCTGTATTTTAATCGAGGTGATGAAGCCACTTTAGGATTTTCTTTATGATTTAGTTTTAGTGGGGCATACAAACATTACAGCCAGGGATGGCCAAGGGGCTAATTTGGGACGGATTTGTTATTTTTTGCTTTTGTTCCTGTGACTAAATTCTACCCTTGCTCCCGCTCCACCCTGCTACGGATGAAATTTTTCAACCCTAGCCCTGCCCCTGTAGATATCCATGGATAGCTAACTATATTTCAAATAGTCAAAAAAATTAAGAACCATTTTAATGTTTAGCACACTAAATAATTTTTCTTATTTCTATATATGTAAACCGTAAGACTTTTAGGATTATTATTTATTTATATTTAAATAAAATCACAAACTTTTAATATTATTTTCTTATATCTAATTATATTATATATACATATATATATTATTTATATATATATATATATATTATTAATTATATCGGGTCGGGTTTTAATCGGGACGAGAAGGCGATACCCGCCTCCGTCCCACCGCGTTACGGGTGACCAAAACGTAATCTACCCCCACCCCAGCCACACGTAAGTGTCAAGACAGATAAAATCTATCTCATTCTGACAGCTATAAACAAATTTCGCAAATCAAATTAAAATGACCATCTCTAATACCAACACTAACATAATTGATATATTTATTAGTTCATTCATTAGTGTGTCTACATTATTGTTTTTAAAAATCATAATTTCTCATACAAATGTTTTTTTTTTTATCAACAAATATTAGTTGTTAGATTAGCACATATGAGAGAAAATCTCTCCATCCTTGGTAAAGCATCTAAGTGCTTACACTCTTTTAATTCAACTCTCATAAAAAGAATTGAACCCACGACCTCTTTGAGACTAAACTCTAAAAAAAGTATGATGACCAATTAGGTTAAGCCTAATTGGTTCATAATCTCTCATACAAATTTATGCCTCCATAATGAAGCCAATTAATTTAGTCGGGTTCGGCTTGTTAGATTCAAGTGGTCAGAGCTAAAGGTCTGGATCTGGATCCAGGCCTTTTTTGTTTTTTGTTTATTTATTTTAAGATGGTTATAGAAGCCCATCTTAAGCTACTCTCAATCCTACAATGGACAATCCAAGATGGCAGCGGCGGCGGCGGCGGGGTGTTTGTGGTGACAAGGGTGATGATATTGGTGTCAGGTCAGTTTTCATTGGCTATGGAAAAAGAAATATTGGCAAAACAAAGTGAGTAGATGAAATTTTGGTTAGATTAATTGAAATCTCAACATAAGCCCTGTTTGGTAGAGCTGTGGGAAAGTGCTTATAGCTTATGCCTAAACAGCTTATAGCTTATAACTTTCAGCTTAAGCTGATTTCCAGCTTATTCTTAACTCCCAATCCTACAATGGACAATCCAAGATGGCGGCGGCGGCGGCGGCGGCGGCGGCGGCGGCGGCGGGGTGTTTGTGGTGACAAGGGTGATGATATTGGTGTCAGGTCAGTTTTCATTGGCTATGGAAAAAGAAATATTGGCAAAACAAAGTGAGTAGATGAAATTTTGGTTAGATAAATTGAAATCTCAACATAGTAGAAGTGATCTTGTATAATTAAAAACATCATTACTTTTGAGATTTTGCTATCAGGGTAGTGACAAAACGGAAGTGTAAGGAGATAATGTACTACAAAAGCATTGAAAATATGTGTAGAAAGACAAACGACATGGGCTTTACATGCCATTATCTACATAATAACAAATAAAAATGTGGATCTAGAAGTGAGGTTTTGGAAAGGTCAAGAGTGGAACAAAATGAAGCACAAAAGTATGAACAAAAAAATGATGAACAAGAGCACATGGGTAATCAATCCCCTATGATGTGACCCAGAAATTCATGGACCTCCAATAATTCTGCTATGTCCACCTCCTTTTTCATTTTGTTTGCACTATATATTGGGGTATACATAAATATATATTTTTTTGAATGCTTAGTGGTACCTTATAATTTACAAAATTCCTTTTTCTTTTGTTTTCCGTCTTAAAATTTAGACAAATTTATGTCTATAATCGAAGTTGAATCCCCTTTTCTAAACCTTTAAGCTATTGAATCAAACTGTGCAATCCCTAATCGTCCCTTCATATAGACAACAAAACAAAAGTCATTTATTTCAATATATATATATATATATATGTATATACATATACACACATGTAAGACAATGAAATGACATGAACCACCAATTTGGAGTTTAGCAGACAGAAGAGAACACTGCTTTTGGCATAAACAATTTTAAAGACAAAAACAAAAACAAAAAGTGAGTAAATATTAAATATAGCTTCTATTAATGCAAAGGGACTAAAAAAATTTTGTAAATAGATTTTTAAGTTAGGTAATGTAGGGGGTTCAAGGTTAGGAAGATGATTAGAGAGGCAAAACTATGTTAATGGTCCAATAATGATGGAATGGTTGGAGGATGAGCAGTAGCAACTATCTGGAAAGTTGGAGAGTGAGCAGCTGGATGAGGGTGAAATAAGTAGCTCAAGAAGAAGACAATGGCAGTGCACAAATAGGCAGTATCTCTCCCAAATTCCAAAATTCGTCTCTTTGGACCTTGGAAAATGGGGTCCTATTTATAGGCTTTTCCTTGATACCAAGAGTACACCAAGTGGCCAAATAGAAAGAAGACAAGTGTCCTAAAGGATCACCTAGAATATTCTACCTTAAGCCACTAGGCTGAAGGTGCCACGTGTCCCTCTGTATGTACTGTGTACTATTTGTTTGCCTCTGCAACTACCTTTTTGGTCCTCAGCAAGTGTAGTTGCGACAAGATTGTTTGGCGTTGCAACTCTTTGTTGAGCCTCAGCAAGTGCAGTTGTAGCGGAAGTGTTTGCCGCTGCACTTGCCTTCTCAGCTCAAACCTCAGCAAGTGCACTTGCAACGGTAAACCTTGTTGCTGCACTTGCCTTCTCAGTTCCATTTAGCTAGTACATGCATTCCCAGGACTCCATTAGCATGCTATCAGCTATGTTCGTATTCACTTCAACGAAGCCTTCACCCTTAGCCACCTAACCACAAACTCCCTAGTTTCCCAGGGCGAAGGCCACAACCAAGCCTGCTATCAGCCATGTTGTGTCTTAGTACCAAGCCCAAAGGGGCTTCCTTAGTCCTACCTGTGCGACTAAGGCAGGTCTATGACTTGAGTAATGGAAAGGGAGTCCCTTACACTTGGGCTACCTTGCTTCCATCTTCGCGGGATCGCCGCGGAAAACTGGTATCTCTGGGCCTGCTATTAGCTTCAACTAGTAAGTCTTGGGGCCTGCTATCAACGCCAAGTTAATGAACTTTGGGGCCTACTATCAGCCCTAGGCTAACAATGCCTTGGGGCTTGTTATCAGTGCCAAGCATTAGCCAAGCAACTTGTAGAGGGGAAGCTTCTCCCAGAGGCTACTATCAACTTGGCAAGGGGTTTTCCTCCGCATGTTAGTTGCGGCGGCTGTAGTTGTTGTGACAGTCATTTCCCGCAGTGAGTTTAAATGACAGAATCGACAATATTAGTAATGGCAGTGCCTACATAATACCTTTTTTAACTTGGGCGCTGCAAGTACTGCCGCTGTAACTTAGTTGCTTCTGTTTTCTCCTCCCCTCAACAACTCCAGATGGCTGCAGTACTAACAATACTTGGAATGGCGGCGTTGAATCAAAGTGCCTCCACAACTTGGCCGTCGCAAGTGTTGCCTCTACAACTTAGTTACTTCGACTTTCTCTTTCCT